ATTGGAGCATGCAACTGAGATTCTTCAAATTTTCACATTTCATTTGTGGTTTATTTGTGAAATTTACTATCAATTTCTGATTGAAACATTTCACCACCAAATTATTTTAGTGCACAATTTGCATGGACCACTTTTATAAAACATGTTTTTGTGTATTTGTTTTAAAACTTCAGTCCCCATTCATTATTTCAAGAAAAAGAGTGAGCAGCACTTTCTTCAAAAACTCTGTGTTCAATACAAGATATATGGTCATAAAGGTCTGCTACAATATGAGGATAAACAAATGGTTACAGAATTATAATGTGAACTTTCTCCTTTAATTTTCATAAATGAAGAGCCGTAAGTCAATACGTTCAGAATGCAGTTTACGTTTCATCCCATTCCTCTAATGTTTCATGAAGATCAAGTCAGTCCTCTGTGAAATGCCAAGACTGTAGCTTTTAAATAGTCAACTAGTGACTAGTGAAAATCTAGTTTTTAATCAGCAAATAAGAGCCTCATTCTACTTAATCAACCTGTCTTCAAGATTAATGCAATTGACTAAACTGATTAAATCTCTCCTCATCTCAGCCAGCTTTTATTTGCCTTAATGCATTTGGTGTTTGTTGACCTGTGTAATTACACTGCCCTGGTTTAATTGAACTGATTCACTCGTGACCTGATGAATCACAGACCACAACGGCATGAAATCCTCTTGGATGAGGGACACACATTGTTTTGTAGAGTCTCTAAGCCATTCTTCCTGTTCCTCCAGGTAGAAAAACAATCTTTCACATCTGTTAAATTACAATTTTATTCATCTTTGTTTCTCCCCCTTTTCTCCATTCAACTGCAATTTGCATTAATTCTTCCATGTATTTCTTCCCTCCTGGACTCTTATCCTCCCATTAGCAGCTTCTTTTCTAATGGAAGGAAGGAGGGGTCTGCTGCATTGAGAGTCGCAGAATTGCTCGTAATCTCATTACAAGTCAACAGCCAGTCATGTGACCTGCGCGCACCTGCCCCGTAGGGAACCCGCCTCGGCGCATTCACATTCAAAGCAGAGCCACTCCAAAG